GCACTGCGAGCTGGTCCGCCGCATCCAGGCAGGTCTCGCGCGGACGGTCCCGGAACGTCTCAGGAGGGATCACAGGGAGTGAGGAGTGAGCAAGGACTTGTATCAGCAGCAACGCGTGGAGACTCTCTGCGAGGCGGTGGAGCTGACCGAGAGTCGACTCGGGAACACGCGTCTGCGGAGGCTGAAGCGCCTCCGCCAGAAACTGGAGCGGCTCATCAGCTGCATACTGAGCCGCTGCCGCGCCACCACCCGCGGCCACAAACTCCACCCCCGCAACAGGCGGAACCGGCGGCAGATGCAGACGAGAGCCGGGAGCTGGCGCCGCTACAAAAGGAGAGGGAGCTGACGGGGCGAGGACAGGCGGAGGAAGTGCAGCAGCCGGCGGAGGGACCACAGGAGGCACAGTCGGGCGAGGAGCCACGTGCGCCGGCGCAGCCCGCAGCGAACTGCTCTGGCTCTGCGCCGCCCTCTCCTCGCGCACGGCCCGGGACACCTCCCGCTGAAGATCCGCCATTGTCACAGGCGGACGATACCTCCCGCCGCCACCACGCCCGTGGGGACCCCTCCAGCCCCCATTGCCACCCGGGTGAGCGGGCCACTGGGCCTGCTGCTGGTAGCGCCGGGGGGAGTTGCGCCGGCGCCGCGACGTCTCGCGCTCTTGTTGGGGCGCTGGAGAATGGGGCCGGGAGAGACGGCGGTCAGGCGACGGGGGACGAGACGGCTCACCAACAGGGACTGCTGGCGGCAGAGCGGGAGCCATCAGGTTCGCGCCGGGAGGCGCAACCATCGGGGCCGGGCCGACAGTGGTGGCGGACGCCGCCTTCGGGGAAGAAGCAGACGCCGGCGCAAGCTCGCCGGGGACAGAAACGACAGGTGCACCAGGAGCGCCAGGGACAGGGACAGGGGGAACAACAGCTTCCCCAGCAGGAGCAGCCGTCGTCGGCGCCACAACGGGAGCAGGGGGAACAGGAGCGACAGTCGGAGCGGGAGGAGCAACAGCCGGCGCAGACGGCACAGCCTCGTTCCCGCCGTGGGAACCCGCGGATACGAGGGGAGGAGTCTTTTCAGCGTCTACTGTCGCGGGCTTCGGAGCAGACGGCGGCGAGGACCCCGTCGCCATGGTCCCCGCTCCGGAGGCAGACGACGGCTTTTCGAACACAACCGACGCAGCGCCAGCGCGCATTGGCGAGTAATCGTTCACACCAGCAATCACCATCGCGAGACGGAGGAGCGCGAGGCGGAGGGCGTGAAGCAGCTAGCGGACAAGGAGGAGGGCCGGAGAACGGCTATCAGTCGGAGGCACGAAGGGCTTTAAACAGACTAGATAACGACGAAGAGGGAACGGACCTCTCTTATAGGGAGGAGCCCATGCCCTCGAGCGAAGATGAAGGGACGGAAGGAGAGGAAGGAGTAAGGGAGAACGGGAGGAGGACGGGAGCAAGACCAAAGCAGTCCCTTGGCGAGCAAAGGGACACCGCTGGTGGACCGTCTGATGCCGATCGTACGGGCGAAATACCCACCCCATCATCACAAGCGAGGACGGGCCGCACCAGGCGACATCGGGCCGCGACAGACACGACGGCGGTGCGAGAAAATCCCAATCTCCCTCGCTATTTCACGCCAGAGGAGCTGGCGATGTGGGCAAGCGGGTTCGCGGACATCGCGAACTGGGATATCCCTGCCCTCTGCGACAGTCGGCAGCCATATCTGGCACGGCGGTTACCGCCAAACTTGTGCCAGTTGTTTTCGCTGACGCTACTGACCCCGTTACTCCACCTGTCACGAAACCCGGAATCAGAGGCAGGTTGGCGCCTTCTCCTCTTTCTGCCACGTCTGACGCTTCGCCAAAACTCGCCACGGAAACCGAACTGGCCCCAGATCAAGGCCCGGCTCCGAGCCTTCCAGCGTGGCGAGTGGGACCAACTGTACAAGGACGCGATTGAAGCAGTCAACTCACCCGCGCCACCACGTCATCAGCCCGATGCTACCGGGGTCATCAGCCGAGCCGAGGGCCTGGCGAAACGTGGTAGCCTGCGCCGAGCCGTGTTGGCGTTAGAGTCAACGCCAGTCTGCAAACCAACTCCAGAAATTCTAGAGGAGCTCCGACTGAAACATCCGCCAGCCGAAACAGGACAAACGACGTGGCCACCCACGCCCGAGCCAAAATTAACCATCACCCACGCTGACTTCGCCAAACTGCTGGGGAGGTGCGAGAACGGGGTCGGTGCCGGACCTTCGGGAACAACTTTCGAGCACATGCGCGACGCGGCAATCACGAACGGGCGAGTCAGCACCCATCTGCACGCATTGATAAACACCATTTTGGGGGGCAACCTACCAGCACTGGTGGCAGACCTACTGACAGCCTCGCGACTCATAGCCCTGGCCAAACCTGGTGGGGGGGCTCGACCAATCGCGATTGGCGAGTGCATCACTCGGCTGACAGCCAAGGCAGCCCTCGCAGCCACGGGCGATGCTGCACGTGACTATTTCCTGCCTCTACAATATGGAGTGGCTGTGCCAGGAGGAGCCGAGGCAGTTATCCACGTGGCACGGGCGTATCTGGACAAGCTACCCAACAGCCTGGTGCTGCAGACCGACATCTCGAATGCATTCAACAGCATATCCCGACAAGCTATCGCGACGGCGTTACACGAACCCGGGCTATCGCCACTAGTGCCGCTGGTGAAACTGACCTATGGTAACCCGTCCAAGTTGCACCTCGACGCAAATTTCGAATGTGACCCGCTGACCAGCGAACGGGGAGTGCGTCAAGGGGACCCACTTGGCCCTTTACTGTTTGCGGCGGGAATACACCCAGCACTTCGCGACACCGCTGAGGCATATCCCCACGTGCTTTGTCTGGCTTACGCCGACGATGTCACATTCCTGGGGAAGGCGGCGGACACTGTAGCCGCATTTAATCACTTCACCGAGAGGTTGGCGCACCTGGGGCTAAGACACAACGCGCGGAAATGCGCAGCCTGGAGCAGGGACGCAGCAGTGAAGGATCAGCTGCCGCAGGGAGCGTGCGCTTCCTTTTTCCCACGACGGCGTGCGCTTGCTGGGAAGCTTCGTGGGCCCTGACAGCGGGGCGTCACAGTTCCTGTCGGGTCAGCTACGGGAAATGGCAAATCCCTTGCCACTCCTTGAGAAAGCCGACCCCCAGGTAGCATCGTTATTGCTCACCCGCTGTATCTCGAGGCGGGCGGCATACCTCACCAGAACGACACCGCTTCACCTTCTGCCTCACGACACCTGGAGTCAGTGGGGCACCGATCTGCTTGCAGCACTACTCACAGCATGCGGCATCCGCGTCCCCACCTGCCGCATTGAGCAAGCACGTATCTGGGCGCAAGCCTCACTGCCGCCGTCCTTGGGAGGGATAGGCATTACCGACCCCCTAATCGAGGGAGCATACGGGTACGCAGCGAGCTTCACACAGGCCGCGCTTTTCCTGGCATCACTAGACGGCGCCCCTGATGGCGCGTTGACGCAGGCTCGGGACCACATGCTGCTGCCTGCAGACGTCGCCACGCCTCTCCACGCATGGCTATCGGAGTGCGAAGCGGCTTTACCGGAAGACGCACGGGAGATCCTGGAGAAAGAGCGGCTGGAGCGATCAGACATCAGGCTCCAGCACGCATTGGCACTGAGGGTACATGGGAGCAGATATGCCGCACAGGTCAAGGAGACACAACGGATGGCGCTGAACCCCCTGTGCGGACACACGCAGCGGATGTACTCACTGACCGGTTACGGGACCGGGGATTGGCTGACCGCTATCCCCATTGCGGCCAACAGGAGGATAGGGCCCACTCACTTCTCTAATGCCGTGCGTTTCCGGCTGGCCCTCCCCTTCTCCACACCAAAGAAGTGTGACTGCGCTGACCACATCGCCATCACGGACCCCCGCCTCCCTAACCACCTACTCCGCTGCGGCACGGGCAAGCATCGCATCAACACCCATAACGAGCTGCGCGATGCCTGCATTAGCATGGCCCAAGACGCGGGGTTCATTGTCCACGGCGAGTCGTCGGCGCACTGCCCCATTGAGGAACAGACGGCTGATTTTACAATGACGGACAGAAGCAGTGGGGCCGTCTACGTATGCGACGTCACCATTACCGACCCTATTAGCACTAGGGATCTAGAGGCGCAGAAAGGCAGGGGCTGGGCGGCACGGGAGCAAGCGGACAAGAAGATCCAGCACTACGCCACCCTGCCAGAGACGGTGAAGTTCTTCCCACTTGCGGTGGACACCTACGGCTGCCCCTGCGCGGAGGTGCCAGTCTTCCTGAGGCTCTTGGCGGACACTGCAGCTCGGCGCCACTTCAACGCCGACTCCAAATCGTTCTATGCTGCAAAGTTCCTGCACCAGTTCAGGCAACGCTGGTCGGTGGCCCTGCAAAGGGCCCAATCTGTGGGCCTCCTGCTCAAGCTTGGAGAGGCTGCGGCAGTAGAGAACCCGCCTGTGGGGGGAATTGGGGACGAATTGCACCTTGGGGACTGCTTCGCAGTCATTGAGCCCCTAGTGGAATTGTAGATCTGTGGTGCTTGTGCTTAGCATGTGTGTTACCTACGACTCTATGACTTGCATGCTTGTACTTGCCGACTATATCAATACAAGGACCATTAGAGAGAGAGAGAGAGAGAGAGAGAGAGAGAGAGAGAGAGAGAGAGAGAGAGAGAGGCCCTAGTCCTTAGCCTCTCCAGCCCTCTCCAGCCTAGTATAAAGGCCCTAGGACCTTGCCCTAGAGCCTCATTATTCAGTTCTGTGTTCATTTGCTCTCCTAACCGAGCGGCTCGCGCTGGCCGCCGAAGGCGGCCAACGCTCGACAACGCGGCCTTCGGCCGCGCGTGAGGGGCGGCAAAAACAAACACACGCAATAGATACTAAGCAAGGACATACATACAATGAAAGTTTCAATAAGCACCTAGACAGGCATCAACAACGACCTAAGCAACAATGGCAACAACGGGACAAGCGGAGCCCGGATCTACATCCGGTGAGCCCTGAGGGCATGGACAATGCCCGTCAACGTCCGCCACAGCTCACGGACCACCAGCGTACTTGCGCCGATCGCCGCGGCTCCAGATCCTGCGCGCAAGTGTCGCCTCAAGCCCCGGACAGCCTCGTCAAGCTGTCCCACTGCCGCAGCGCCACCCTCTACGGGCGCAGCCAACGCGGGCGCCAGCAGCTGTGCGAGCTGGTCCGCCGCGTCCAGGCAAGTCTCGCGTGGCCGGTCATGAAACGAATCAGCAGGGATCGCAGGGAGAGAAGAGTGAGCCAGCACTTGGATCAGCAGCAGCGCGTGAAGGCTCTCTGCAAGACGGTGCAGCTGGCCGAGTGTCGCCTCTGGAACACGGGTCTGCGGGGGCTGAAGTGCCATCGCCAAGAATGGAAGCGGCTCATCGGGAGCAAGATATGGAGGGTACTGCGCCCCCGCCGCCCCTCCACCAGCAGGAACGAACTCGACACCCGCCACCGGCGGCACGGGCGGCAGGCAAAGACGAGACCCAGGATCAGCAGTCGAGGCAGCAGGAGCATGAGCCGATGGGGCAAGGACAGGAGGAGGAAGTACAGCAGCCGGTGGAGGGACCACGGGAGGCACAGCCCGGCGAGGAGCCACGTGCGCTGGCGCGGCCCGCAGTGAACTGCTCTGGCTCTGCGCCGCCCTCTCCTCGCGCACGGCCCTCGACACCTCCCGCTGAAGATCCGCCATTGTCACAGGCGGACGGTATCCCCCGCCACCACCACGCCCGCGGGGACCCCTCCAGCCCGCATTACAGTGAATGGCTATGTGGCTGTGGGAAAACAGCGGTAGGTTGGCCCTTCGCTTCCGCAAAGGGGCTTCCTTTGCACCATAGGAAAAGGGTGTAGCCATAGGGGGGTGAGGCTGGGACATATAGGAGGTACAAGCAATAGATCTTGCAATGTTTGTACATTCTGTGTAATCTCACAAAATTGCATCACCTTGTGCCCTAGTGAGAGCTCATGCCAATACGAGCAGATGGTCATGCCGGGTTAGGAAGGTGCTAAGGGATGTGAGTAAGCCTAGGGACTTATCACATACAAACATTCGTGACGCAGTAGCATGCGTACGTGGCAAGGGGCGGAATTCGAGTAAGAAGCGTCAGCAGAAGGAGGCAAGGAGGAAAAGAGAAATAAGGCTCGCGGGATGCACCAATGCACCGACATGAAGGAGGATGAGGGACACGGCTTCGAGTCGCCCAGGCAGGAGGCTGAAGGGCAAGAGCACCACGCAGGCCCGGGTGAAGGATCACCGGCGGCTAATAAGGGCGAGAAGGATTCCCGCTCTGGCGGAGAAGTTACCCCGAGCGGAGGAGAAGGGACAGAGCGCGGTATGTACCAGCGCAGTGCATCTTGAGAAGGATCTGAGGAGGTGGCAACGGCGCAGCGATGGAAATACACACTCCTGCCGAAGGTGGAGGTTCTAGAGCAATTTTTGGGAGAGGCGGGGCGTGGACCATCCATCAAGAACTATGTGATGCAGCTGGAGAATCTTCGAGCAAGATGGGACCGGGATCGACTCTATGCAAAGGAATTCTTCTGCGGGCTTGCGAACACGTTGACGGGCGAGGCAGAGACTTACTACCACATCCGCTGGCGTGAGCTACTGCAGTGGGCAGCTAGAGCGGTGCCTGGTGAACGAGATCCAACGGCGCGGTTCTTAGGCATGTTGGAGGAACATTTTCCTGCGCAGACGCCAGAGAGAGTCGCGGATTTTCGGGACTTCAAGCGGAGGCATGAGGAGTCGTTGCTGGCATGTTATGGGCGTGTTATGGGCTACAAGAGCAGAGCCAGTATAAAGTAGTGAGAGGACATGAGTGAGAAGCATGAAGGGCACGGGAGCAGGGAGAAGGAAGGCAGGGCCAAGGGGATTTCCGACAGTTATAAAAATATATTTAATACACTCAGCATGTATATATGAAGTTGCATACTATCAAAGTATTTTGTATGGTAATGTCAGTCATGCACACCTTTTCATAGGCTCGCCTTGTTGTTTTGAAGCTAGTTATTCCACACTATGTACACCAAAATGCTTGGAGACGATCCATCCTAATCTCACCGTGCGTCCAAACCAAATGTAATAAAAAGCACCTCATTACTAGAAGAAAGAAAAAGGGGGAGAAAACAATGAAACAAGGGACAGCTACAGTGACATGGTGTAAGACTTGAGTGGCTGGCAATACACATGCTGTGTCCCGAGTCAGAGAACAACTCCACACGGCAGAGGACAGTGAATGACGATGGTCATGGCCCATGGGCATAGCACCCCTCCTAGCAAGATGCGACAAGCTGCTGAAGGCCTGGCATGGGTACCTAATTGCACGCAACGAGTGCTTCGGGCCTGTTTAGAGCAAGAGTGGGTGAGTGAGTGAGGGGTTAAGCACGTGCAGAAAAATTGAAGTGGAGGAACCAAGGGGGCGAAATGAGACAAGAGGCGATGAAGGACGGGAATGATGGGCGGAGAAAACGGGAAGGGCGGAGATGATGAATGGAGGAGAAGGATTAACAATCGTTCTACGACATACACAATGAAACTGCCTCATTAAAAAATATGAGAAGGGCATATTTTATTAGCTGCCTTGCAAATGAGTGCCAAGGCATAGACATACGAGCTAATTCCATTGCAGGTAATGCAGGACAGGCTCCAGTACTTCAACAACAGAACGTGTTCCACAGCAGCTACACTGATAACACGTTCTACCCCTCCACATTGTCCTCAGTTGCAAACCACCCATGCTATCGGCAAGCGCCTTAAGCAGCGTCACCAATCACATGGAATCACTGTCCTGGTTTGCTCGTCACACCTGCAAATGCGACTCCGTCTTAGAAAATGGAATTCCTGGTCTATCTGTAAATTGCACTCTCACCACCCTCCTGCCTGTCACCTTCAACTCCTCCTACCACTCCCTCTGTCGCCTTCACCCCCCACATGCCACTCAACTTACCAGAGTTTTTTCCATCCATAGTACCACTCACAGTGCCACTCATAATGCCACTCACAACGCTACTCACCTTCCCACTATTCGTGGCACTCTTCTTGCCGTTGCTCCTGCCAGGGCATGAGAGCTTGTGGGAGGGCCAATGTGCCTTTTGGCACTCTCTGCTGCAATAAGCCACACTGCCATGTGCAGAACAGTTGTTCAGCTTCACACCACCACCCTCAACCTTCTCACACCCAGCAGCACTGCACACACGCCCCCCACAAGCAGTAGCACCCAAGCCTTGTGTAACTGAGACCTCCGTGCCTCCCGTCCTGTCGTCTCTTGTGTTTTGTCCGCGTTGGTCACTCACCCGACTGCCCCCCCGCTGTCTGTCTCGGCTCTTATTACCACTGTCTCTGGCTTTGCCTCTTCCCACTTCCTTGACTACGCCACTCACCTGGTGAGTGGCCCTGCTCGTTCTCCGTCCTCTGGGGGTGCTCCTGTCTTTCCTTTGGAGGTCCTCGAGGACAGGTAGTTCGAGCTTGGTTTCGTTGCGGCCGCTGTTCTTCATCTCTGTACCATGCTACTTGCCCCTGAGGGGGATCCAGACGCCCTTGACATCCTGATCCCTTGCACTCACGCTGAGGCGGTCTCGGAACCCTAGGCTTTGTTCTGGATACCAGCTGAGGAGGCAAAGATGGCATCTTATAGGTCCACAGGCACCTACGTTGACGCCGCCCACCACCTGAGACGAACGTCGTCAGTGGCATGTGGCTCTACAAGGTGAAGCGACAACCTGGATCACCACCGGTGTTCAAGGCGCGCTATGTGGCGAGAGGCTTCGGTCAGCGCGAGGGGGTAGACTTCTTCCAGACCTTCGCTCCCACCCTGAAGATGACCACTCTTAAGGTGTTGCTGCATATAGCAGCTCAGCACGATTACGAGTTGCACTTCTTGCGCAAACGGAATGTTACTGGTGCCACCTTGGCCTCAATGCTAAAGGGACAACAGAAGCGAGGCCGGAGTTTGGACGGGAGATGAGAGAAGTCCAAGTTGCGTGTGTCCAAAAGAACCTAATCTCCGACTGTCATAAAAAACGACCTCCAGGAAACGACCCAGAAAAGCCATGTGGGCGGCGCAGCCAGATCTCCTCGTGCAGGCTGCCCTGCAGGAAAGCTGTGCTAAAGTCCAGAGAGTGCAACTCGTAGTCACGCTGAGCGGCAACATGCAGCAACACCCGAGGAGTAGTCATCTTCGGGGTGGGGGAGAAGGTCTGGAAGTAGTCAACCCCCTGTCGCTGACTGAAGCCTCGAGCAACGTAACGCGCCTTGAAGGCAGGCGCAGAACCCGGCGACCGTTTCACCCTGAAAATCCACATGCCATCGACTATGTTCGCCCCAGGTGGGGGAACCTCGTCGACGTAGGTGCCTGTGGACTTCCAGGATGCCATCTCGGCATCCATGGCTGCCTGCCACTGAGAGGAGTAAGGACCCGTAATCGCCTCTGCGTAAGAGCGCGGGGTCGGGATGTCTGGTGCATCCGGGTCTCCCTCAGGGGCAAGCAGCATGGAGGCGAAACGAGGTACAGCAGCTGCAAGACACTCAAAGTCCTCCTGTCTGTCCTCAAGGACGTCCGTGCCAAGAGCACACTCACCCCCGACGGACGGAGGACTGGCAGACGCAGACTGAGAAACAAGAGCAGTGGCGTAGTCTAGACGGCAGGCAGCAGCAAAGTCAAGCAGCTCAGCAACGAGAGCAGACGCAGCAGCAGACTCAAAAGAAGGGTCTGTGACAGCACTGGCAAGGAGACGAGAGACAGTGGGACTGGCAGCACGAGCGCAGTCAGACTCAGGGTCAGGGATCTCAGGAAGAGAGGACTCAGGAGGAGCAGGCAGAGGAACACGCAGTGGAACAGAGGAAGGACAGAGTGCCATAGTGTGCGTGCCAGGGACAGGAGGAGGACGCGAACGAGGAACGCGACGAGCAATGTGAACAGGCGAGACAGGACGAGACGCAGGCTCACGACGCTCTGTAAGACCACCAGACTGCTCAGTGTAAAGGGAAGGAGCAGGCAGTGGGGAGGCTGACAGTAACGGCGGCTGCGACAGGTCAGGCGGTGGACACAGGAGGGGAGGAGTAAGGCTAGTAGAAGACGGGACACAAAGAACCTGCTGAAGCAGGGGAACGAAGTACGGTCGCGGACGCACAGTGCCTCCAGCACCTCCAGCTGCAGAGTCAACAGCTCCAACTCCTGCAGCTCCAGCGCCTCCCGCGCCAGTGCCTCCAACTCCAGCTCCTCCAGCTCCAGCGCCTCCAGCGCCAGCTCTACCAGCGCAAGAGCCTCTAGCTCCAGCAGCTCCAGGCTCCGTTGGGTCTCCAGCTCCAGCGCCCCCAACACCACCAGTCCCGGCAGCTCCAGCACCACTGGTACGAGCACCTCCAGGACCAGCAGCCGCAGTACCTCCACTACCACCAGCTCCAGCACTAACTCCAGCACCGTCAGCTCCGCACCCCCGGACCCAGCAACCTCAAACTCCGCACCTCCCGGCTCCGCACCCCTAGACGCAGTTCCCCCAGACGCAGCACCTGGAGCAGCACCGGAGCCGAGAACTACCTCGACAGGCGCTGTACCAGGGAGAGGGTCTACCTGAGACACACCGGAGGGAGCAGGACCCTGGGGCGGGAGGGGGTCTAACAGAGGGGGACCGGGAGCAAGGAAGAGCGGCGGGGGCGAGGGAGGGACAGAGCCGTAGGGGAAGAGACGGTAAAAGGGAACCGACTCGTCAAACGTGACGTCCTGAGAAGGGAGGACACGGCGCGAGGTGGGGTGGTAAAACTGCCAGCCAGGCGCGTCAGGGACAAAGCCAAGGAAGACGCAGGGGATAGCACGGGCAGAGAGCTTGTCCGGGACGTATCGCGAACAAAGGCACGAGAACCCAAGACCTGGAACACCGACGCATCGCCAACCTCCCCCGTCCAACGCAGTGTGAGCGAGGTCTCCGGTAAGGAGACACAGGGCAAGAGGTTGAGCTGATGCGCAGCGTACCGGACCGCAAACGGCCACAGA